GGACGGGACCGGCCCGGCCGAGCCGAGCTGACAGCCGCAGATCCTGGGCCACAGATTTGGGCTCAAGAACAATTTATAACAGCTGAAGTGGTAGTTTTTGACCAGAAAGTATATTTGAACAGGAAACATATTGCAAATAGTCATGCTAAAATAAAGAGCCATGGATAGGCAGCAGTGGAAATAGTCTATTTAAAGGCAGGTTGTAGAGATGCTCCATCCGAGCCGAGCTGACAGCCGCAGATCCTGGGCCACAGATTTGGGCTCAAGAACAATTTATAACAGCTGAAGTGGTAGTTTTTGACCAGAAAGTATATTTGAACAGGAAACATATTGCAAATAGTCATGCTAAAATAAAGAGCCATGGATAGGCAGCAGTGGAAATAGTCTATTTAAAGGCAGGTTGTAGAGATGCTCCATCCCTGCAGGTATGAGATAATTGCAGTTTTTGGAGATGCAATCTCTAACATATGCACGCTTTTTCTCCTTCTGAATCTGGTTCAGCTAGTTGTTTGAAAAGAAAAAACTTACAGTGCAAAAAAATATCACTTTACCTCTCAGCACAGGCTTCCTGACAGTGAGATACTGTCATTTTTCTTAAGTCATAAAACACAGCTCCCTTCAATGTCCTCTCCCTGGAGTCATCACTGAAGCAGCCAATGTAAGTTCCTAGGAGTATAAAAACCACATCATTAGGCAATGTGCATGTGCCAAAAGGAGGAGAAGGACAGGCATTCCCGAGACAACAAGTGCTGCGAATGGCAAGTGGAGCTGCCCGGGATGGAGCCAGGCCCAGCAGGAGCCCAGGACGGCCGAGGCCCTTGGCACGGAGCTCTCATAAGTGGTGGTGACGGGATCAACCCAAATGAGTGGTGGGAAGGAAGGGAAGGGGAATTTCTCTGTTTTTTCCTGTATAGCCTACTCTAAAGAAGGCTGCCCATCTCCTCAGAGCTACTGCTCCTTGGGGCTGTGCCTCCCTGCTCCTTCCCCTAGCAGCACAAGCGAGGGCTCCTCTTCCCACACTGCAGTCCCAGTCTGCTTTTCTGCCTCATCCGGGCGTTTGATCCCTCAAAACGTCCCCGTGTCACCAGGTCCTTCTCCCCTCCTGCCACTGCCCGGCGGTGGCGGCTGTCGCCCCTGCGCAGGCGCCCACAGCTCCGGTGCCCCTGCGGGAGCCGCCGACGCCGCGGGAGAAGCGGGGCCGGCTTCCGAACCAAGGGACGGGTAATCCTGAAAATGGTGTAAAGTTGGAGAAACCTTCTTGGATTTCTCCCAGGTTTTCCTGAAAAACTCTAGTTGAAATTAAGATGGTGTAAGAGAAATATTTTTAAAAATCAATTTCCCGTGGGTATGCAGAGTTATATTAAAAGCTTATAATGGAAAGATAACTCCAGCCTTAACTAGGGAGCCCTGTCTAGCTATCACATTAAACGCTTTCTCTACAGTGCCAATGAATCTCTTAAAATGTCTTGCTTTACTTAACATATGAAAGATAAATATTTCTGTTAGACTGCATCCTACATTAAGCCTCTTATTTTGTTGTCATGAACAAAATGCAGTAAAATCTAGCCTGTATTTTTGTAATATATGATTGCAAGAATGACCTAGATTCCCACTATTATACAGCAAGTATATATATATATAAGTACATGTTATTAAAATATGAAGAAAGAACGGAAATTTGATTTTGGAAATAACAATATTGAGATCACAATACTGGAAAATTCAAATAGCATATGGGCTGTGGGCAAGAGAAGAATATGTGCTGAGAAATGAAATTTTAAAAGAATTTTATTAAATTAATATGAAAACCTTCCAGACAGTCTAACAGAGAATTTTAGAGCTGGGAAAATAAATCAAACATTTAAATACGACAGCAATAGTTTCAAAGAACTGCACGTTGGTAATTTGTAAACATGCAATTAGAAAATTCCCAGACACTGAATATACACCCACATGGAGCTGTCAGTGAGAGGGGAGCTATGCACCTGGCATAGGGATGTTCTGTGTTTTACTGGAGACTCCTGATTTTGGTACCTAGATCCAAGCGTGCGGGACCCACGTGTCTCCCGCGGGAGGCAGCGGGTGTAACTAGCGCCGCTGCGTCTGGTGTCTCCCCAAGCCTTGCACGTTGCCACGAGCCCTGTGTTGGGTGTCTAGCGGTGTCTCCTCCGCTTCGGGAGTGTTTGGAGTGTTTCAGTGGCTGTCACCTTTGAAACTCTGTGCAATGGCATAACTCTGTCTAAGAGAAACAACGTAAAACATCCCATACACTGGTAGCATTCTTAACAGAAATGATTTACTACCAAACAAATTGCTGTTTGTATCTGTGGTATTAACAGTCTTTTCCAGTAAGATGCGGTCCCTCCCAGGACAGGTTAGCAGCTACTGCAAGGGAGTCTCGGGCTGGGGCTGCACTTCAACATGCACTGTAACCACAGGGATTTTCACTGTGTTGATGCACAGAGAAGTAACAGCCTGCAAGCTTACTAGGAAATGTGAGCGGGGCAGATAAGTTACATTATATAGGAAGCTAAATTTTTAATTCATAATAATTTCCAAAGGCCTTGCAATGCTTACTAAAAGCACTGTTATTAATAATGATACTTCATTTTCAGTCTGATATTCAAATGATGTGCATTTGAATCAACATAATTCAGCAACAAGGAGCCCCTTCGGCCTTTTCTCCATCAGCAATTACAGCTTGAGCATGGCACTAGGTTAATGACTGATATGGGCATTAGCTTTAACTGATTTTTATGGATTTTTTAAAAAATTAATCTCTTTGTTTTTAATTGAGTTCTTAGGGTCATTCAGGAAATCTGTGGTGGCATCGGTCCGTACTCTTGTCACGCATTTGAGTAGCGCACAAAAGCTCCCCTTGTTTCTGCACTTTGATCTCTTCTTTTGTTAACTAGGGACACCAGAGCACGGCAGGCAGCTACAGTGAATAGAAATCCAAAGCTGCC